TTTGAGAAGACAGGGAATTTTATTAGTGTGAATTCATTTAACTAACATTGTTTAGACCAACTACTTTGATGGATTTTTTTCTTCTTTTTCTTTAATTTTTTTGGTTTGGGTCTTGGGTCATAGTTGCTGGGTAAGACATCAATTTACGGGTTGGATAATCTAAATGTGAGCTGGTTTATTCATTTTGGGAATGGATTGAAAATTATTGTTGCTTTCATATATATATATATATATATAAATTTGGACTCATCAAATCTAGTCCTTCTCCTCTAATCGCATAAAATTTGGGTTGTTTATATTATTATTATTAAAAAAAATATTTGGATGACATATCCATGTACCCGTATCTAATTTTTTTGACACTTTTATGCCAAGTTCCTGTATCTTTCAATTTGAGATTTGATGAGTCAGGCCCTAATATATGAACATCCACCTGACACACTCGTACCTGAGTTAGTGTAACATAGCTTGTGGTGGTACTATAATGCACTATGGTGGGGTTTTCTACTTATTTATTTTGGGATTTTGATCCAATCTATTAAAGCTAGTGGCTGGGACTTAAAAAGAATTTTCTTAATCTAATGGTTGAAGGAACAAATTTGTTTAGCTTCCATTGAAATCGTTGAAATTCTTTCATTTTGTAGAAAACTGAAACGAAACATTAATGGAATACTAAAATTTCAATATTTTTACCAAAACATACTGAAATGCGCTGAAACACTATGAAATATACCGAAACAATGAGTTGTTTCAATACCTTGGCTTGGCTTGCTCTTTGCTCCTTGACAAGGCTGTTGCCCTCTTTCTTGGCCTAGGGGGAACAATGGTCATTTCAATTTGTCTCCTTTTTTTTTTTGTTTTTGTTTTTGTTGTTGTTGTTGTTGTGTCAAAAGACAATATCTGAGAATCGAGAAAAAATTCAAATTTATTAAAGGATATGATAAACTATAAAGGATTAGAGGAAAGAGAGAGGTTTATATTTCTTAAATGTTTCCATTTTCAACCAAATCAAAACAACGTACCATAATGAAGTTTTAATCTTTGAATGGCTGAGTATTAGGCACAACTCATCTGTGTTTATATATATATAGATATATATTTGTGTATAAGGAGTCAAGCTTGAGCTGATCGAATGCGTAAATGGGTGGAACTACAGGGGTTCTGGTAGAGGCCATGGCTCCCCCAAAGTGCAAACTTTTTTTTGTGTTATTTATATAATGTTTATAATGGTTTCTTTCATGAAAAAGAAGTGCCCACAAAATTTATGAAAAGTTGAGAATATTCAATTTCATTAAGTAGTAAGAGCATCTCCAACACACTATGCATATAACGCCTGTTAGCTAAAATGCCAATATAACTCACTTTTTCCAACTCCAACACGCTAGGTATATTGGCATTTTGCCTCAACTCAAATTTACTAGCTAAATGTAGCTAGCTTTCAAAGGTTAAAATGTTCCTAACCCTTATGTTCATTTCCCTCCAGCTTTATTGCTAATGCTGCATTACGTAGAGTGAGTAGTGTTTAGATGAATAGCTAAAATAAATCGCAGTGTTAAGAGTAGGAACTTGAAAAAAAGTAGGTAGGCAAAATAAAATGTATAATTTATGGTAATTTTTGAGTATGCAAAATGCCTACTAGTGTTGGGGATGCTCTAATCCTTTATCAAGTAGAATATTAATATCTTTTTTTTTTTGGATTGGCATTGAGGTGTTTGCATCAAAACCCGACTAATTTCCAGAGGTGCACAGGCCCTCGGCATAGAGTTTTTTGGAAGTGCAACATGGTTAATTCAAGGTTTTCCCCCAGTCCGAAGGTCCCGAGGAATTGTTAGCACCTAAAGGTTTCGATCCCTGAACTTTGGCGGAGTACACTCCCAACACCCAAGGCCTTGCCACTAGGCCTACATTATCCAATCACTTCTACAAGGAGATAAAAAAGGAAAAGATTTAAATTCTAAACTTCTTGTAGACAATGACGCTCAATCTCTTGTGAATTGCAAGAATGCATAATCTTTATGGTGCGCTATAGAAATTCAACTACACATATACACCCTCTTGCCGTCCAGTCCCCCAAGGAAAAATTCTTAGTTCGGCACACTGATGCTTATGTCTAGGTCTGGTCTGAACCCAATTTGGGCTAAGGGATTTCGCCTGTTGAACTGAGTGAAAAAAATGTGTTGAAGCCTGAAAAGAGAAGTCAGGTTGGGTTCAGTTTCCTTGGGTTCAACCTGATGGAGTTGCATCATGTGTCTGGGGATATTTGTTCAACCTGATGAACTGATCTCTAGAGATGAAATTTTGAATATTCTGCAGACTTTGTTTGTGTGTTTAGATTGGGTGACATTACCTAATCTTGCGAACCACATAGATGGTACGTTAGTTTAAAAGCTTTTGGTGAATTAATTTGAAACATGAATTTAATATGGAAATAAATCTCTAAAAGGAATTAGTAGAGGCCAATCTTAAAGATTGGGCGAAAGGGGGTGCTCGGTCATTGGCCTTCTTCGTCTTTCATGCCTAAACTCCTGAACCAAGACTTTTGGTTGTGACGAATCAGTGGCTTAAATCAAAATGGAGTTAGGGTTTTGTAGTTTCCTCATAAAAATTAGGTGGTGACCCCTATGTTTTGTGAATCGGTATTTGTTTGGCAATTGTGGGTGTATGATTTGGTCAATTGGATTTCCATAGTTCCTTGATAAATCAATAAAATGGAATCCATATTGTGATTGATTGCCAAATACTAACCTTCATGATTCACATTCTAAAAGGGTCAAATCCCACATGGGAAAAAGGCCCCAAAATGGTGTGGTACTCACAATGTGCTTCATAGCTGGGCACCTGGTGCACGAAATTGTTGCAACTAAATCATGTCAACATATTATTTTGGGGATCTCGTAATGAAGACTGGTACATTTGGGATATAACTACAACAAAGAGAAAGTGAGCGGAGTTAAATGATCCATGTAACACCCTGATTTTTAAGAGATCCGAATCTATTAATAATTAGTATTTTTGAGATGATTCATTAATACACACACAAACACACAGACACACAGACACACACAGACACACACACACACACACACACATATAATCTAGTGGAATATGGATATACAACTGAGAACTTGAGAAATGAGAGACGAGATTAACATTTGAAAACCGCCCGTCAATATATATATATTCAGTCAATACATGAGTTACAATACAAGTGTCACATGCATCCTATATTCAAGCTCACTACATGACATGAATATATATTTTTTTGAACAACAACAAAATAGTATTATTTAAATAAAAGGTGAAAACAAGGGGAGGACAAGAAATCCTCTTACAAAGTCAAGAAATTGAAGCTAAAAACCGAAGAAACGAAAACTAAAACATAAAACAATCCACCACTAAGTGTGGCAAACAATAGCCCAATCCCTAGAGATCAAAAATAGGGGTATGTCCTTGAAAGTGGGAGACACACAAGCCCAAACTGAGGCCACATGCCTCTTCCTATCCCACATAGCTTCCTTTTTTGATTCCTTCTCATTAACAATGCTTTCATTTCTTTCCAACCAAATGGTCCAAAAAATGGCAAAGACAATGCAAGACCACAATGTTTTGGCCTTCCACTACAAATGTTTGAATTCAAAAGAATGTGCCCTAAGGGCTTACATATATCAAGGGCCTTAACCTATTACAATAAAATGGAGGTTCATCTCATTACAAAACAAGCTCTAGGCTTTACAAAATAAACAAAACAAAATGAGCTTGTCACTCCCACAATCCTCTAGCCATTATCTCGGCGGAGGCAATCCATCAATACTTGGAAATGGTTTTCCACGAAGGGATGGTCACCAAGCCCAATAGAGACAATCTCAACTAAATAAATAATTATTGAGTATACATTGATCATGGATGCCAATACACATGCCGTTTCATGATAAAATAATTTTCAAAACATGAGATTTTCCAAACAACTTTCCAATTACTCAACTTTCATGAATTCAAAAGAGAATTCAACAATTAGAAAACACGGTGAATCCCTAAGTATCTGTCAGTAGTCTATCTAAGAACCACCAAAAACTATCCTCATTTTACCGTTTGCTAACCGGAAGAAAATGGGTACATACTTTGCGCGGGCTTCCGGTCTTTCACCGAGGACCTCAAGCCATCTTACATCAACATTTCAAATCATTTTATACGCTATCCGGATTCACCCACCATTATTTATTAATTCCAACAACATTTCAATAAACATGACAAAATCATGACTTGTTCAATGCGTGATGCTCGATGATAAAATGAGATGCTCAATGCATGATTTTCCAAATGGTTTCAAATATCATAAATCATCAATCAATTCCACAACACAACAATGCAACTCTTCACCGATTACCCCAAACAATTATCTCTAATTGTATCTCAATATATATCACAACCTCATGGCCATTTTCAATTCATCAAAAGAAGTATCAATTCCACAATTTCATCAACTTTCAATTTCTAATATTTTGAAAAATTTGGGGCTTTTGCCTTTTTGAAATGAATTTAACAAATTCATGCACAAAGCTAGTTTATTGAAAGGAAATTTCTAGAAAGTTTAGGATTATACACAAAAACCCTAATTTTGATACAATAATTATACAAAAATCTCTACATTTTTCATAATCTCATAACTAATCAAAGTGGCTGTTTGTTGCAGTTTCTATAAGTTGATTATAGCTTATTTTAATTTGGGAGTTTGTGCTAGACTATTTGGTGCCATTTCTGTCTACAGTTTATTAGGTAGAAATAGCTTAAATAAGAGGGATTCAGAGTGTGAAGCAAATATATGATGACATATTTATATTTTTGGATTGATAATACACCTCGGGTTGGTGATACACATATATTCATTCTTGTAATTATGTTGACAGCCTTTTTTTTCCTTGCCTTTTTCGTCTTAGACTAAATACATTAAAAAGTTGAATGACAAAACTCTTCTGTTTCTTACATGCTCTTTCTGTTTGCAGTCGAGAAACAGGTGCTTTAAATCGGATTATTGATCGTGGTAGCCGTGCAATAAACTTCATCCTTTCTTCCATGGTATTCAATGTTGTACCCACCATCTTAGAGGTGCGACTCTATAACCTTTATTGTTTCAACTGGCATAATGGTTTAACCAATATGCAGTTGTCTGTGGGCTGCTTGCAATGACCACTTGAGGATTCACTGACATGGGTTTTTTGAATAAATTATTCATTTTTTAATCACTGGGCCATAATTTGCTTGGATCATATATATGCCTTTGCTTTTTGGTCTCTGAATGCAATTTTGTCAGATTTAACGTGTATCCTTCCAGATATCTATGGTATCAGGTATACTGGCATACAAATTTGGAGCACCATTTGCGTTGATCACTTCCCTATCAGTTGCTGCATATGTTATTTTCACATTGATCATAACACAGGTTATCCACTGCACATTCTTATTCTTCTTTTATTTATTATATTGTATGGTAGACTAATTTATTTTTGGTGAGTTAAGGAGCGTGCTTTGTTTCCTTTATCTTATGGTAGTCTCCTTATAATTGTTTCATCCACTGGCAACTGCGTATTCTGATATAGATGTTCACTGCACAACTCAGTTGTGTCATTTTACTTTTTATAGAGCCACAGAAGTTGTTCTGACTTAATATTTGTTTGGGCCAAACCTGCTTCCTCGTCTACTTTTTGATTCTCTTAAGCAGACGAAATTTATGCAATTGTTTTTTGTTCTACTTAAGTGTCACCCTTCAATTGTGTTTTGTAGTGGAGGACTAAGTTTAGGAAGGCCATGAACAAAGCTGATAATGATGCAAGTACGAGGGCAATAGATTCACTTATCAATTATGAGGTGAAGTATTAATTTATCTTTCTTGTATATCTTTCTTTTAATGCATACTAGATTCCTTATTTTTCTTGCCCTAGCCTTTCTTGTTGGTGATCTTTTCTCACCTAATGTCGTTACATATGCAGACCGTCAAATATTTCAACAACGAGGCTTATGAAGTTGAAAAATATGATGAGTTCTTAAAGAGTAAGTTGTTTGGTTGTTATAGAAGTTATTCACATATGATTGAACTAAAGATACAACTGAAGATAGAGCTGACTAAAAAATTGCATTACTCAGTCGACCTTGAGTGGTTGGGAGAAGGACCTGTTACAGTAGCTGTAGTTGTTGTCTAATGCATATATGCTGATATATCTTAACGTCATCAAATTGAGTGGATTTTGCTGCTTATACTTGTACCACCTTATAAAATATGTGCAACGATGGTCTGGATATATACAATATAACATCATTGCAAATTGCAATGGTGGTTTGGGGCACGTAGTGCCCCCCTTGCTATAGTTTTCTGGATTTTGTAGTGGTTTATGAATCCATTTTGTTCAGTATTATTGTAATTTAAGTGCCCAATTTGATTTTTATTTCCAAATAGAGTACAGTTAATTGATTCATGATGATAATTCTATCTTTCAGGGTATGAAGATGCTGCATTAAAAACGCAACGTAGCCTTGCTTTCTTGAATTTTGGCCAAAATGTAACATTTAGCGTAGCTCTATCAGCAGCTATGGTGTTGTGTTCCAATGGGATTATGACTGGCCAGATGACAGTTGGTGATTTGGTAAAATTCCTACTTAATATGTTTACTCATTAAATTTTTGTATGTTTGAAATGATGATTCACATAAATTATCCTCGGAATGTAGGTTATGGTAAATGGGCTCCTGTTCCAGCTGTCTCTTCCGCTCAACTTCCTTGGCAGTGTATATCGTGAGACTATACAAAGTCTTATTGACATGAAGTCCATGTTTCAGTTACTAGAGGTATTTAGCCGCTTCTTATGTCTCTCTCAGTTTCAGATTCAATAGGTCCTGTTTACTTTGTGTGTGACATGAATCTTGGGTCTTTGCAGGTCTAGCCTGCATTTGTATTCATGTACTATTGGAATTTTAATATTAAAAAATGGTGATAGGTTTCATAAAGGAATTATGTTGTTTTTTGCTTGGTAGCTTTTTTTCATTTTAAATTTTTTTTTTTTCTCTATACATGATACACCTTTTTTGATGTCACTCTAAAAAGTTAATAATTAACAAGACAAAATTTGAATAAAAGAAATGTGTAAATTGTATGGTGTTGACACAAAATGTCTCATATTTTGGGTTTTCCCAAAATATCCCTGTAATTGTTGTTTATGTAAAAATTAAATTTAGAGGAGGACAAGACTTGAAAAATGAGATCACAGGTTTGGCAAAGAAAGCCCTTACCACTTGAGTCACACATACTATGTATGCATTTTTCTTGGTAATTCTTTTTATATTACTATTTTTTTTTTTTTTTTGAATTTTTGCAGACCAATAGTTATGGTAATTATTTTTATACTACTACTTTTTTTTTTTTTTTGAATTTTTGCAGACCAATAGTTATTGTAATCTGGTTCCCTCTCCTTCTCTCTTTAAGAGTGTTAAATGGAAAGGTAACAAAAAAAGGATACTTGCAAAAAAAAGGTTAACAAAAATGAACAAATGATGTTCTCTTTTGTATGGTGTTTCTGTTTAGTGACTTCTTACCATCTTCAAGTTAAGTTGCATGATATTTTTTTTTTTCTTTAAACAATTAATGAGATGCAAATAAATAACCTTGGTGGAGGAGACAAGTGCAAAGTGCCCAATGCCAAAGAACTTAAATTGCCAATACTAGATACTATTTTAGTCATGCAGTCTGGCCAACGCCTTTCAAAATCTGTTGGTGCCAAACAAGAAGTACTAGATGCCTGGGAACTTCTTAGGGGACAACAATTTCAGTATGCTACTCTGTAATAGCACTACAAAGAACGCCGGGAAGTCTAAGGAAATCAACAACCAGGACCGGATTAAGCAGGATATAAAGAATGGATGATCTAAAGAGTAAACATACCTCCAACCTGCAGTATAGGGAAAACCTGTTGACTATAATTAAGGCCTCGTCTGGGAACATGCTATTTTAGTAACTTTTTAGCTTTTTGGCTAAAATATGAAATAAAAAAAACTAATATGTTTGAAATGACTTTTTGGTTTTTTATGAAAAGGTATGCAAAAAGTAAAGAGAAAAGGGAATCTTTGATTTTTTGGCATAAGTTATAGGCTTTTTGACTTTTTTAATAACTTTTTGACTTTTAGACTAAAACACTGACATGCCAAACGAGGCCTAAGTCAGCTGTTGGTGAGAAATCTATCCAAGTGAATAGTCCCAATCATTCTTAGTTATACAGAACATTTGGAGCACTGGTACAGTGGTACTTCCACTTGGGAATGAACTGTCAACTATTGGATGCAAGGTTTAATTTTTACTTGACAGAGAATGAATTCCTCCAGTCCTGCAATTACCAATGTTTTATTATCCACATCACCATCCATGTTATTATTATCAAGTAAATTGCATTCAATGACAATTACAACCTACCAGTTAAACAAAGTGAATAAGATCTAGACCCAATTTTTTTTTGTGCTTGTAAGATTTTGCAGTAATTTCTTGTCTTATGCCAATGATTTATCACATTTTGCAGGCTGAGTTAGCATTCTTTTTCTATTTTTCTTTTCTCTCAATCAATGTATTCAAATTATCATCATCTTTGTCATCAAGCTTCTCATTTGAGGATTCCAACTCAATCTTTTTTTGGAAAGAATTTGTAATGCAAATGCTCACCGCAAATAGGCAGTTAGATGCAGAAATTGAAGTTCTTGACACTTCAATTCAGGAAATCAAACAAGTTTTGATGGTGACATAGGGTTGTAAACCTCTAGACAACAAAGAAGTACAATCTTCCAACACAGAAAATAGCTAGCCAAGATTCTCTAAAATATTTTTTCCTCTCCAAGTCTAAAGAAAATACCTCAATCTGTTAGTCTTCCAATCTAGGCAACAACGAAAACAATGGCTTTTGCTAGCCTCTTAATGCATTCAACAGTGACAGAGGGATCAGTAGGTGCTGTGGAGGTTAATCCTCAACCCTACCTTCCAAATCCTCAAAACCTAGTAGATTTGGGGTTGTAGCTCTGTGTAGTGGTTCTCCACTCAAAAGTCCCTTTCTCTGCAAATCCGCTCCTTTTTATACAAAGTCAAGAGGCTTCTTCAAGATATCAACTCAAAACAAGCTCATAATCCCCAAAAGAAAACATAACTCTCCAACATCCCATAATTATTTCTAAGCTGGATCCCCTCTGGGCGTAAAACCTTGAAACATCAAAAACGCGCGTCACTAAAGACACATAATTATTTTATATACATATTTTCATGGATTGCATCAATTTAGAGGTGGCAAAAAAAGTGGCTTAGGGAGGTTTCATTATTTTTTGGCTGTTATCATTTATTGTAGGACTATTTTGTCTTTGTTTTGTTGTGTCAGTACTTTGTGTTGGCAAATTGCCAGTGATGTAATTTTTCTTCATCACTTTTTTTTTTTTTTTTTTTGTGCAAAAAAAAAAATAAGGGAAAAAAAGATGAAAAAATAAAGTGAAAGAAAAAGAAAAAGAAAAAAAGAAAGAAATAATAAGAAGATATGTGAAATCAAAACGAGAGAGTGAGGGAAAAAAAAATTGGTTCACGTGAGTTTCTTGGCCCACGGTTTTGGTGAAAACCTGCAATGGGTTTGGTATTTTTTTATTTTTTTTATTTTTATTTTTTGATAAAATAAAATAAATAAAGGTAAAGTGGGGTAAAGTAGGGGTAGCGTGAATCAGCATGCGTTTTAAAAAGTGAGGAGGTATGAATTAGAGTGGGTATGGATTTGTAAAAAATAATAATAAAATAAATGAGTGGAGAAGGTTGGCCCATGCACAATTAAACTATGATCAAAATTAAGGCAATGAGGATACCAAGAACTATAAGCTTTATCTTCATATTCTGTAACCACATTTTCCTCCTCATTTGGGTACCCTGGGTCCTGAAGTCTTGTGCCTGAGAGCGAAGGTTCTCTGTTTTATCCACTAGAAGCTCAATCTTCTCTCCACGATCCAAAACCTTCTCAATATTTTCCATCATCACTCCTTTGACTTCTGAAACCTGAGCCTTTACTTTGGAAAGCTTGCTGATCTCCTCTGGATGATCCACACAGTACTGTATCTGCTCCTTAAGTTTGGGTCCAAACTCCCTATTCAGGCTATTAGCAGCAGCAGTTGCAGCTTTTCGACCACCATATCTCTTGGTGAAATCCTCCTTAACTCGTTCAAGAAATGCCATTGGAATCTGTCTGCCAGCAGATTCCACAACGACGACACAATAAGTGAAGCCGTCTTCGACGAGATAGTTGAAGGTGTGGCCATCGCAGTTGTAGGTGAACTTGTTGTTGGAGGAAGGGAGTTTCTGGAGGCACTGAGAAGCGATGCTCGTGAAATTTCCAGTGAATTCGGTGAATTCGGCGAGAACCACTGTTCCTCTAGCCACGAAGCTGTAGATCAAAGACTGTTGCCCCATCTCTCTCACACTCAAAACCCTAAAACTTAGAGAGACAAAGGGGTAGAGAGATAAACGGACGGAGAAATTTGTAGAGAGAGAAAGTGATGTGCCGAGAGGGAGAGGGAGGTTTGAATTGGTTGAGCTCCGGCGGGCGGTCAAGGCAAGGTTGCCGCCCGCCGGAAGGCGAAGAACACCAAGATCTTTAACCTTGCTCTGATACCATGTTAGGTGATAGTGGTGTAGTGGGTTAGGTTTAGTGGAGTAGGTGAAGTGGAGGTGATAGTGGTGTAGTGGGTTAGGTTTAGTGGAGTAGGTGAAGTGGAGGTGATAGTGGTGTAGTGGGTTAGGTTTAGTGGAGTAGGTGAAGTGGAGGTGATAGTGGTGTAGTGGGTTAGGTTTAGTGGAGTAGGTGAAGTGGAGGTGATAGTGGTGTAGTGGGTTAGGTTTAGTGGAGTAGGTGAAGTGGAGGTGATAGTGGTGTAGTGGGTTAGGTTTAGTGGAGTAGGTGAAGTGGAGGTGATAGTGGTGTAGTGGGTTAGGTTTAGTGGAGTAGGTGAGGTGGTAGTGGTGTAGTGGGTGGATTTTAACAGAAACCAACAACCAGGGACCGGATTAAGGAGGATATAAAGAATGGATGATCTAAAGAGTAAAGATACCTCCAACCTGCAGTATAGGGAAAACCTGTTGACTATAATTAAGGCCTCGTTTGGGAACATGCTATTTTAGTAATTTTTTAGCTTTTTGGCTAAAATATGAGAAAAAAAAAAACTAATATGTTTGAAATGACTTTTTGGTTTTTTACGAAAAGATATGCAAAAAGTAAAGAGAAAAGGGAATCTTTGATTTTTTGGTATAAGTTATAGGCTTTTTGACTTTTTTAATAACTTTTTGACTTTTAGACTAAAACACTGACATGCCAAACGAGGCCTAAGTCAGCTGTTGGTGAGAAATCTATCCAAGTGAATAGTCCCAATCATTCTTAGTTATACAGAACATTTGGAGCACTGGTACAGTGGTACTTCCACTTGGGAATGAACTGTCAACTATTGGATGCAAGGTTTAATTTTTACTTGACAGAGAATGAATTCCTCCAGTCCTGCAATTACCAATGTTTTATTATCCACATCACCACCCATGTTATTATTATCAAGTAAATTGCGTTCAATGACAATTACAACCTATCAGTTAAACTAAATGAATATGATCTAGACCCAATTTTTTTTGTCCTTGTAAGATTTTGCAGTAATTTCTTGTCTTATGCCAATGATTTATCGCATTTTGCAGGCTGAGTTAGCATTCTTTTTCTATTTTTCTTTTTTCTCAATCAATGTATTCAAATTATCATCATCTTTGTCATCAAGCTTCTCATTTGAGGATTCCAACTCAATCTTTTTTTGGAAAGAATTTGTAATGCAAATGCTCACCGCAAATAGGCAGTTAGATGCAGAAATTGAAGTTCTTGACACTTCAATTCAGGAAATCAAACAAGTTTTGATGGTGACATAGGGTTGTAAACCTCTAGACAACAAAGAAGTACAATCTTCCAACACAGAAAATAGCTAGCCAAGATTCTCTAAAATATTTTTTCCTCTCCAAGTCTAAAGAAAATACCTCAATCTGTTAGTCTTCCAATCTAGGCAACAACGAAAACAATGGCTTTTGCTAGCCTCTTAATGCATTCAACAGTGACAGAGGGATCAGTAGGTGCTGTGGAGGTTAATCCTCAACCCTACCTTCCAAATCCTCAAAACCTAGTAGATTTGGGGTTGTAGCTCTGTGTAGTGGTTCTCCACTCAAAAGTCCCTTTCTCTGCAAATCCGCTCCTTTTTATACAAAGTCAAGAGGCTTCTTCAAGATATCAACTCAAAACAAGCTCATAATCCCCAAAAGAAAACATAACTCTCCAACATCCCATAATTATTTCTAAGCTGGATCCTCTCTGGGCGTAAAACCTTGAAACATCAAAAACGCGCTTCACTAAAGACACATAATTATTCTATATACATATTTTCATGGGTTGCATCAATTTAGAGGTGGCAAAAAAAGTGGCTTAGGGAGGTTTCATTATTTTTTGGCTGTTATCATTTATTGTAGGACTATTTTGTCTTTGTTTTGTTGTGTCAGTACTTTGTGTTGGCAAATTGCCAGTGATGTAATTTTTCTTCATCACTAGTCCAGTTTGAATGCCTACAAAATATTTTTCTTCAATGATTATCACAGGAGAAGCCTGACATTCGCGATGATCCTGATGCAAAGCCTCTGGAGTTGAAGGGATGCAGCATTGAATTTGACAATGTTCACTTCAGGTTTTTTTTTTTTTTGTTTGTTTCTCTGGCTTTGCCTTCTATAGATAAAATTGGAAACATTTTTGAGCAAAAGCACATTACATGGTGTTTGAACACATCATAATTACAAAAATTGGGCATGTGTACAGTGCTGTCAACACCACTAGGTAGTCATCAATTGGGTATACAATATACGCATTTGGTCTGAAGTTATTGCTCCATGTCTTAAAAATTCCACTGGAGAGAGCTGAGCTAGTACAAAGTCTTCTGGTTATCATCGAATGTAAGAAAAACTGATGTATTATTGATTGATATAATGTTCTATTTATTACAATGATTCATGATTCCTATATATAGAAGAGGGTGAGTGTGTAGTAGGTAAGGCTGTTATGCACATTTTCCAACCTTCAGTGTCTTCTTCCATATTGCATAATGAACTTTCTGAAGCCACCGTAAGTTTTATCTTTTACTGTTTATTTTATCATTGCTTGTAAATTGGGTTCTGTAAACTAGGTCTTCCCTCAAGAGACTCATTCTATTATGAGATAAGTACTCTTTGTTTGTGTCTTTTCTTACCTATCATGTGGTAAATTCTTTGATAGACAGCTTTTCTTGTAGTAAATTTAGTTGGTTATTAGCAGTCTTATATAATGTTCTCCTTGGACTCGACTAAGAATCAATGTTGTATTAGCCCTTGCAAACTTTTGGTCTAATTCAAAATTTGTGATGTCTTTTTTTTTAAAGTACAGGTTTTAATTTTCATTCCACCAAATTTTGAACTTATCTGCAACCAACTACTGGTTCTACCTGACCTTAAAGAAAGAGAGAGGGAGGGAGGGAGGGAGGATTTGGACTGTATTGACCATTTCCACTTTTGTAATGGCTGTGGATTATTACTAGCTGATGGACATTCTCTATTTCTCTTCTTGCAGTTATGTGCCAGAAAGAAAGATTCTTGATGGGATATCCTTTGTTGTGCCAGCTGGAACGAGTGTTGCTATTGTTGGAACCAGTGGCAGTGGTATGCTTTCAGACGTTTCATGATTCTTCAATTATGGTGCAAGTTTCTGAAATTTTTTTGAAGTGTATAATACACCAAAAATTTCCAAAATTGTATAAATTATGTGATCTTTCTCTTCTTTCTTCTCTTCATATTCTGGTAGCCCCACTAGTGGTTGTATGGCCTCTTTTTCCTTCTCCCCCTTTTGACAAGTTATGTTACTTCACTTAGAACAACCATCTAGACTTTCTTTAGGCATGTAAATTTGGCCTGCGGGCTCACTCGAGCCCCACCTTAATTTGGGCCAGCTTTGTTCTGAATCTTAGTTATTGATTCATGGGTCCAGAGTGAGACGGCAAGAGTGTTGTTTATCAAAATACCTTGAAAGCGAGAGCATTTAGTGTATGCATATACGTATATTTATGTACTATCGGTATATATTCATATACATTTTCTAAAGTAACATTCAGATTTTTATGCCTCATTACTTGTTTAAGAAACTACATTTAATATAAATATTAAGATGTAATATGTCAAAGAATAAAAAAAAAACCACAGATATTACTCATTGGTATTGTCGGTCTAGCGGTAAGCAAGTTTTAGTTGCTTCTCTTGGCGCTCTCTTCCCCAACCATTTTTGACTTCTTATGGGTTGAATTGCATTGAGGCAGCAGGGGTGGGCTACCGTGTATCTTGTGCCATTAAGAGCACACATGATGGCTCACTACTAATTAGAAGTTCAATCCGTTTCAAATTCAATTATTTGATTAGTTTTTGCTTTAAATTCACCAATTTAAAAATTAGAGCACGATCTGCCACCCCACTTAAGAGGATTAGACCAAGTCCCGGAACCCTTCAGTTATGGCTTGGGCTGAGGTATTTGAAGTGTGGATTGCCCCATTTTTGTAGGAAAAACTGAAAAAAACCGAGGGCTCTCTAAAAGCCTGGACTGAGGCCCTACCCCCCTAGGGCCATGGGCTGAGTCTAGGGTTGTAAGAATAGGCCTGACCTAACCTGAGATTTGGTGGGAGTTTGGTTGGCTTGGCTTGAGCTCAACCCAGCCTGGCAGAAACTGGGTCTGGCCGAGCTGTTGTACATGCCTACTTTCTTTGTTCAAGTTTCCATGAAGACTGGCTTCACATTTTTAAAGAGGCCACCTATGTTATATGGACTCTTCAAAATAAATCAAATACCCGTGTCGGACACTCGACACTTGGACAAGGGTATGGGATATGTGTCGGATACTTTTCAACGGATACTTTTTATATAATTGTATATAACACTATTATTATATGTACATATTGTTGTATAATTGCTATAAGTGTCATTTTGACACTATAAGTTAAATATAGTACCATTTTATCTCACATATTAGATTAAAAATATAAAAATATGACATTTTTTTGCCAAGTCTGCGTATCCTTAAATTTATGATTTGATGAGTCCGACCTCTAAATACATATCCGCACCCGAGTCCATGTAACATAGGAGGCCACTCAGTGTTTGTTGCCAGAGACAGCAATATTTTCAAATTGAGAACTCATCTTCACAACTCGAGAGAGAGTTTATTGGTAGTCAATCTCATCACAGAATCAAGTCTAACTGCAATGATCAAGGACATAATGCACTAGAAATCACATCTCAACGTTAGTCAATCACTTTTAATTCTTCAAGTACTGTCAACTTGGATCTCTACCAATATTTTTATCCTTCTTAATAATTATTCATCAGTAAATCGAGATGGCAGCTTTGATAATTTTGGTGTAATTTCTTTTCTTTTCTTTTCTTGTGGATAGTCATGTTTATCAATCAAGAGACCAACTTGAATACTTTTGTTGGGGTTCCTGTCGCCAATTCTAATGCTCTTCCTTTGGAGTCCTGTGTAAAGTTATGTGCAACTGGCCACTTACTTAAAGTTATGTGCAACTTGCCACTTGTGTAATTATTTTTTTTAACCTTTTGATGACTTGGTATTGGGAATACCTTCCTTAACAGCCCAACCTGCTTCTGTTCCCTTTTTCTTCTTTCTGGTGGTCCATCAAATTTATGTTTTATTGTGGCAAATTCTTGGTCAATGCTATAGCATATGGTCTTAACGTCAAGGTTCATGAGAACTTAAGTTGTTGAGGATTCTGGATTTTATTTTCTAAATGGGAGCTTGGTATTATTTTCAATAATTTTGTAGTCCATGCAAGTTTATTTAGCTTTTTTGTTTTTATTTTTCTTTAGTTTTCCATGGCATTCTGATTTCTTCCTCTCTTGTATTTTTGAGAAGACTTGTTTCTTTAGGATCAATTTACTTAGAAGATTTACCTCACATGTTTCAAGTCTCACCTGAAAATCCTATCCTGGAGATGTACTGTGCAATTACTGATATATCATTTCGAATTACCACAAATACTTTCTTTCTTAAGATTTACTTCATGATTATGCTTGTCCTTGTTGAATCTGGCAACTATTCTTCTATTTGCCTATGAAGCATTATTGATTTTTTATTGTGCTCCATTAAGAATATCATCATCCTTTTGCATCACCTGATAATTTTTTGCACATCACCCTTGATGCGTAAATTGGATTTGTGTGTGCAGGGAAGTCGACCATTCTTAGATTGCTCTTCAGGTTGTTTGACACCCATTCTGGAAATGTAAGCACTGCTACTATGATATTTGGATGCTTTTAGTCCGAGTAATGCCCCAATATTTTCATCATCTGCCTATGTTTTACCCGCCAAGGCCTATGGTCAATTATTGAATGAATAATACCTCGAAACTGGACAAAAAGACCTTTAAGAAAGAAGTAGTTTTTGAACGATATTCTGCTATCTGGGCTCTGCATGATTGCATATAGAAGTGCCAGGGTCCTGCTTCAAAATGGGTTCACTAGGAGTAAGGGCATATCTCCAATCCTTAACACCCTTCACTTTTTGACCCAAACTTATACCAAATTGAGTTTTACTTAGATTTTTACCCAAATCAAGGGTGACTCAAATGTGTACTCAAAATTTTCTAGGCTATTTTTGGGCTCTCAAATTTACGACTTTGCCATTAATGAAACTTTTACTCAAATTTATGCTTAAAATATAAGTTTGTCCAGTGATTCATATCAAATAAAGGTTTTACTGAATTTTTTATTCAAATTTGATTAAAATTTTAAGGTTTGGAGATGGCCTAATGACACATATCTTGTGAGGCATTGGTGTTGTAATTGTTTCGGAAAGATGGTCCCTTCACAGAGGGCTGTGTTCATGAGCTTCATTTATCATGTTGTGCTAGATGTCAATTTTACCGGCTATCTTTAAGTTTTTGAGTTTTTTCCTTGTCAGTCATGCTACTGGGACGGAAAAGTACCATGCACAAAGTTACCTTCTCATTTTCTCAACCTGTGTGAATGTTTTTCTCCTAGTGCTGTGATATTTGTTTTCCCGTGCAAGTTTGGCCCAGTGACCAGAGGCTAAGGGGTTTGCTTTTCTTTGACTTAAATCTGCACACAACATTATCAATTGCTACTTGACAGATAAGGATAGATGGTCAAGATATACAGAAGGTAACACTAGAGAGTCTTCGCAAGCCCGTCGGTGTTGTTCCACAAGACACTGTGAGTTTTCCATATCTTGTTTCATTACTTCCCTCTTTTCTAATTTCAATTCTTAGGTTCCCCAGGTTAATTTAATTTAATTATTTATTTATTTATTTTTGTAGTCTTAACTTCATAATACAAGCAACTCATGTTGCACTGACAGGTACTTTTCAATGATACAATATTTCACAACATTCATTATGGTCGTCTTTCAGCAACAACGGAGGAGGTTTGTGGCAAAATTTATTATTTACTTTTCATTGCTTCTACTTGTAAGGTCATGTGATGTTTCTTTTCAATTCCCATATTCTTTTCCCCCTTCTAGGTGTATGATGCGGCTCGACGGGCAGCAATTCATGACACTATCATGAACTTTCCAGAAAAATATTCTACTGTGGTAGGGGAACGGGGCCTGAAGGTGAGAAACCAGCGGCTTTTAACTACATGATACATCTTTCTGTCATCCTTTGCATGGATCATCTAGGGAAAGGGTAGGTTAGCTCTGTTACATGAATTGGGTAAGGGGTGTGGATAACTAGGCTTTTACATCAGACACTGGGTTTATTTGATCCCTCAATCTGAGGATATGAGGCTGCTGTTAAGCAGTCATGTTTCTTTAGAATTCTTTTGTTTCTTAAATTAAAATGGTGTCTTTACATATAGCATAGATGATCAGCATGGTACTATTGAAGAAATCATGTTGTAGAAGGAACATTATAAAGGAGTTCTATTTAGAAATATATAATGAACTTGAATTATTTGAAATGTGGGTGAATCTCCAATCAGATGCGTTGGGCACAAATCCCATATGCATACAGAGTGCATACAGAGGTGTCGTGTCTGACACGGTTGCTTCACTTATTTAAAATGTATATGTAGCACGTCTGCCCTTTCAAGTTACTGTAGCCACTGTTGCGAGAGTAACCCTAAAATTTTGATAATCGGTCAACTCCATATTCCATTGGAATGTGGAAGAACATAAAAGACATCATTCCGTCAGGTTTAGAAAAAAGTTTGTTGGTTGTGCTTAATCAGGTTCTGATATCCAAATTCTTCTTGGCCAGGTCTTTCAGCTTGCCAAACTTTAGTTTGGGGCCAATTTATGACCTAACAAATTGTTTATTTGCTCAATCTTTCTTCTGTTTGTCTTTCTCAAATGCCTATCAGTGTTTAGAGTTTCAGACATGTTAGTTGAGTATATATATATATATCTATTACATGTTCCTTGGCATTATTAGACAACACCTATGTTACCTAAAGCACGGATCATTCTGGTACAAGAAACGGGTGGTATGCCACTTTCTTTAAAATATGGTATGATAGGGGTATACTTCTTAATTTGACATCCTGATGTAGAATGGCTATGAAGAAATCTGGTCAACTATTCGATTGATCTCAAAACAGAATAAATAGAGAATTGGTCTAAAAGAAAAGATCAAAAGGGGTAAGAAGAATAAGAAGAGAGAATAACACAAGGGTCAAAACCCTAATCTCACAAAAACAGCTACTCCTAAAACTCTTTCGATATTTTTTAATTCAAAGCTAACTAAAACTATTACATAAAAGGCTATATAAAGGCATCGTAAAAAACCTTAATTATGATTACCAAAAATAGAACACTTCACCAAATAAAACTCTAAATTAAATTAAACATCATAAATAAATAAAACTACAAAATCTCTAATTTCTTCTTTGTCCCATGCGTTTCCGTTCCCCAATCACATCCAATAAATTATAGTGTACTTTTCTTTAAATTAAGGAGAACTTTTAATGAGAAAATAGAAAAAATTATGAGATCGCTTTGGATTGTTAAATTCACCTTTTTGGAACGAAAGTTTCCCATGTTTTGGAACATGCATGCCAAAACGGAAATCGCTAGTGTGTTAGTGTTTTCTAGAAAGCACTCCAGGAGAAGTGATGTGCTGTGGTTCCAGAATGCCATTTGGTCTTACTTGGTGCATGTGCCCCTTGTCTCTGAATAAATTGAAGTTTACTACTGTATTCTTTTGGATTGCACGTTAAAGATTCATCCTTATTGCTTTAGGCTTTGTTTGGATAATGGATTTGGGTAGGGATTTGGAAAGGGAAAGAAAAAGGCAAGGGAAAAATGAATGAAATATAAGTTCAATTTTTTCTCCATTTCCCTTCCCTTGTCGTTTCCCTTTCCAAATCTCTACCCAAATCCATGATCGAAATACAACCTTATTGTCAGTAGTTGGCTAATAGGGTGAGGATAACTTCACTTCTTCCTAGCCTAAGTATAAACTAAATACAAATAATTTCACATGTTCACATGTTCCTGGTTGTCAGAAATGTTAATGGAAAAACTTCTTTACTAGGTTTTGAAAATCTTGTTGGAGATATTTTGATAAGTCCCAAGTAAACAACATTTTAAGTATGCAGTTTGGTGAAACCTTGATAATTTTGAACCTTCAACTGTAGATACCTACAAATCGTAGAAAAAGAAGAGTGAAAGAAAATCTGAAAAAACCTAATATGATTAAGTTGCCAACTGTTTAATGTCCAAAAGTTGCCAACTGTTTAATGTCCAAATTATTTATTTTCAAAAGTTTTTCTTTTTATTTTCAATGGGAAATGGTATTTCCAGTAATTAGGTGATGCTTTTATTTCCTGCAGTTAAGTGGTGGTGAGAAGCAACGTGTGGCACTAGCTCGTGCATTCCTGAAAGCACCTGCCCTTCTGTAAGTGTCTTTTCTTTCAATTTTTTCTGCTTTGGTTTGTTTGAGCCACCATCCTTGTGGTCAAATGCCGCCCTTGTGTGCACCTACATAGTGCTTTCTGTTTGTCTCTCACATCTGGTCCTTGGTCAACATACAGCCTTTTAATCACATCTCAAGATCACTAATCCTGAATATTTGCCGCCACATTAAGCTGGTACAAAGAGAGAAGTTTAAATTTTAAAATTGTCCAATACCTTTTCTCATTTATCGCTGGTTGGCTGGTTGAAATGAGTTGCTATTTTAGCATCATATGTTTTACGTAATTTTCTCATTTTGACAAATTGAAATAATTAAGGAATCCTTTGAGCAACTGACATAGGTTTCCTCTCCCCTGTTTTTGTTGGATTAACTTGTGCATGTTCTAATATTGAGTGTCATCCAGTGTCCCAATAACCACCACACATTTTTTTTTTCTTTATTTTATCTATTGCACATAATCATCTTGTAACAATTTTAGTTCTAACTTCTTTGCCATGCGGCAGAGCCATTTCTACCATATCTTATACACTGGAAATTCATGAACCGAAATTATTGACAACCGTCCATTTTAAATCATGAAGTGCAAGTGGCCTTATGTTTGTTCAGAATATAAGTTGATTGCAGAATGCTCCAGAGCACCTTCCTCACTTTGTCCATCCCATACTTTGCGTGAAACATCCCCTTGTCAACTTTCACTACTTACAGAGCGAATTCAAGTTCAAATTAATGATTGCTTTTTCGCAACTACTAGCTACTGACTAGTTGCTTTTCTCCTAGCATTACTGAAGTTACATTGTGTGCTCTTTTGTTTTTTTTGTTTTAAAAATTTGTCAATTGTGAAATCTGCTTATATTTTGGAGTTTTACTTCTTCATAGTTGGTCCCAATCTTAGGGAAGGGAGGGCTTTAGGTTTTCCTTTCAGTGAGGAAGTGAATGAATTGTAACTACAAATTACAATTGAAACTTACGCAGGCTTTGTGATGAAGCTACTAGTGCACTTGATAGCACAACGGAAGCAGAGATATTAAGTGCTTTGAAGTCCCTTTCTAACAATAGAACTTCAGTCTTTATAGCTCATAGGCTTACGACAGCAATGCAGTGTGATCAGGTAAGCATTATTGGTATTGAATTTGTTTTTTTTTTTGTTTTGTTACATTTATCAAGGTTATAGTTGGATGCATTGCTTCTTGTTTTCATGGGCTTGGAATGGTATGTTTGATTGTGTTTTCGTATTCTGTTTTCTTTTTCTGGAAAACTTATTGCCTTCTGTTGTTAAATTGTATTTCAACTTTATGTACCTTTCCTCAAAATTTGTCTTCATTTCTATCGATCTTCCAACTTCTCCGATTAAGAGATTTACACCACTCTTGCCTTCAAAACCTTACGTCTTTTTCCCCTATTAATTTTTTTTTTCTTCTTGCAAGTTGTGCATAAAAAAGAACTTGTGGCCTTCTAACAATTCAGAGACGCATTGTCATCTATATGCATAAACAAACCATTTTTCGTTTAGATTTTTTTGGAATGTGAATCTACCATATATATATATATATATATGCTTCACCGAGCTATAAATTTGATATTTTTGATTAATTGTTGTCAGATTATAGTTCTGGAGAATGGGAAGGTAGTGGAACAAGGACCCCATGAAAATCTCTTGTTGAATGCCGGAAGATATGCCCAGCTCTGGGGACAGCAAAATAACTCTACCGATGGAGTTGATACAGTTGCAAAAGTGGTGGCATGAAAAAAAAAATATATATATATCTTTCAAAATTCAAAATTATTTTTGTGTGTTGTGTACAATTAGTATTCAGGTATTTATTGTCAATTAATAGTCAGCATGACTCAATTTATAGTCAGGTTTAGCATTTTCCGGTATTTTTTGGTTTTTATCATTCTTGAGAACTTCTGCTAGCTTTATAAAAGGGTTGGCAAATTGGCTTACTTCAATCTAATGAAACATTTAAATTTGGCACTTAGGGGCCGGTTTTAGACTTATTTATTTAGAAGTTTTTTTTTTAATCATCAATATCTTCAAAATATCTTTTACCTTATCTCATTCAACACTTTAACCATAACACTACTGGCATGACCCTGCTGCCAGCAATTATTTCCAGCTGAGACAACCTTCAACCTCAGACCTCCGGTGGCGACCTCTGACAACTACCTCTGATCTCCGGTGGCCACCCTTTGGCTGCCGTCTCTAACTATGATAATTACCTTTAATATCCCACAACTTTCGGGGATATTTTTCCAACTATTTTTTAACAAAAACAATTTTCATCACCACCATATTACTGCCGTCATCACCTCCTTAGTTCAGAAAACAGATGGTAAAGTATTTATCAGAAAATAGTTCATATTAATTTTCATTATTAGAGATTAATAGATAGTATTTATCAGAAAATAGTTCATATTAGTTTTCACTATCATAGATTAATACAAGATCTATAAAAGAATTCAACATCCATTCAATGATAAATTTAATATTGATACATTCAATGATACAATTGATTTTATATTAAAGTAAGTAAAAAAAGAAAAAAAAATTAAGATCTTGCAAAGTAGATTGTGTTTGCAGACAACTTGTGACAACTTCGATGGGTAAATTGCATTTTGTCCTTGTTATGTTTAGCCACTTTATCACTTCCGTACTTAAAGTTTATTTTTTTTCCCTACTTTGGCTTTTTATATTTTAAGTTATTTTTAGTTTATTCCTAAATTAATTTATAATCAAAATTAAACAGAAAATATCACGATAACCATCATATAAAATAAAATATATATTATTTTATTAGATTTTGAGTTTGTATCAAATGTATGAATTATATATAATAAAATATTTTTATGTTACGCGATTGTTAATGTATTATTTTTTGTGTAATTTTTAATAGAAGTTAGCTTTGGGCGTAAATTAGGAAAAACTTGAAACATGAAGAGCCAAAGTGATAAAGTGGCCAAACATAAAAGGGTAAAGTGTAATTTACTCTAACTTGGATACTGGGTTGTGGAGAACCTTTGAACATGCAAAGAATATCACTGAGTGATTTGTTAAAAAATTAATGTAGAGGGTCAGAAATTAAACCCCAAACTATGAACTCAAGCACTAAGATCGCCTTGAGAAGGCGACCAGGGATAAGAGAGGAGCGTGGACCAAAGCCCAAGGAAAGTGGGCCGAGGCAGGTCCGACCCACCAAGGCACCAGATGGATTCAGCGAGGAAAAATGCCCAAGTCAAGTTGTAGAGGTCACATGTGCAGCGGTAGAGTTGCTGAGGCACTTTGTCTTAGCGCCGCCATTCCTATTAACTTCGGCTCTGCCGCCATTGGAAGTTGCCGAGGGGACATATGCAGCGGTAGAGTTGCTGAGGCACTCTGTCTTAGTGCCATCATTCCTATTAACTTCGGCTCTGCTGCCATTGGACATTGCCAAGGGGACATGTGCAGCGGCAGAGTTGTTGAGGCACTTTGTCTCAGCACCGCCATTCTAAGTATCTTCGGTGCCGCCGTCGTTCCAAGTAATGTCGGTGTCACGATCACCTGGAGTTGCCGAGGGAAAGGGATGACCGAGGCAACTAAGTTGCCGATGCAACACTTGCAACGCCCAAGTTGCAGAGTCATTCTGTCGGTGCCGCCATCTCCAATATCTTCGGTCATGCCGTCTGGACTTGCCGCGGGAAACAACTACCACAGCAACTAAGTTGCAGAGGGAATATCCTGCCAAGGTGATAGCAGTCTTTGAGAAAGGCTTCCCCTTGCAAGCAGAGGCTAATGCCTGGTGCCGACAGCAGGCCCCAAGGCATTACTGGCCTAGGGTAGATAGTAGGCTCCACAATTCATTTAACTTGGTGCTGATAGCAAGCCCCAAGACTTACTGGTTGGAGCTGATAGCAGGCCCAGAAATACCAGTTTACCGTGGCAACCCCGCGAAGATGGGAGCAGGGTAGCCTGAACATAAGGGACTCCCTTTCCATTACCCAGGTCATGGACCTGCCTTAGTCGCATAGGCAGGACTAAGGAAGCCCCCTTGGGCTTGGTATTAAGACACAGCATGGCTGATAGCAGGCTTGGCTATGGCCTTCGCTCTGGGAAGCTGGGGAGTTTGTGGTTAGGTGGCTAAGGGTGGAGATTTTGCTGAGGTGAGCACGAACATAGTCGATAGCAGACTAATGGAGTCTTGAGAATGCATGTACTGGCCAAGTAGAACTGAGAAGGCAAGTGCAGCGGCAAGGTTCAGCGCTGCAAGTGCACTTGCTGAGGTTCAAGCTGAGAAGGTAAGTGCAGATGCCAGTACTCCCGCTGTAACTGCACTTGCTGAGGCTCAGAAGGGAGTTGCAGCGCCAAACACTCCCGTTGCAACTACACTTGTTGAGACTTAAAAAGGTAGTTGCGGAGGCAAACAGATAGTACACAGTACATGCAGAGGAACATGTGGCACCTTCAGCCTGGTGGCTCAAGGCAGAATATTCCATGTGATCCTCTAGGACACATGTCTTCTCTCTATTTGGCCACTTAGTGTCCTCTTGGCACCAAGGAAAAACCTATAAATATGACCCATTTCCCAAGGTTCAGGAGAGGAATTTTGGGAGATTTGGGGGAGATGCTACCCAATTTGGTACTGCCATATACTTCTTCTTGAGTCACTTGCTTTGCCCTCATCCAACTACACACTCTCCAATTCCCAGATAGTTGCTGTTGTTCATTCTCAAAGCCACTTCTACCATCAGTGGACTATTAGCATAGTTTTGCCTCTCTAATCACCTCTCTAACCTTGAACCCCCCCACAATTACAGATGCTAAAAACACTTACGTTTACATTTACATTCACTTACTCACAAGATACTCTCATTGTATATACACATATAACCAAAAATTGATAAATTTATCACTGAAAAATAATTTTGTAGCAGATCTTCTTTGAAAAATAAAGGACAGAGAGGGAGAATAGGGAAGCTTTAAAAAATACTTCATTTGGAGTTGATTTTACCATTGAAACAATTAAATCAGTGAATCGGTGACGGTAAAGTGGAGATCATAGTTGCAGAGTGTAGATCAGTGATGGTGAAGATGGTTAGTGAATGGTGGTGGTGATGGATTGGTGACGGTAAAGTGTACATCGATGGTGTTAGTGAATAGACGACAATGGTGGCGAGTGGAAGATGATGTAGACGAAAATGGTGGTGATGGCTGGTGACAGTAGCAATGATAATAGTAGTGTGAGGGTCTTAGAGAAATGTTGGAGAGAGAGAAAGAGATGGGTAAAAGAAAAATATTAGGATTTATTGGTGCATTCATAAGACATATAAGACTAATTGATATTTGAGTTCATTAAATAGGCTTGGAGAGTAATTATACCACATTTAAATATTCACTAACTCTATCCTTCTAGTTGAGTTCATTAGAGCAAACTGTAACTAAAGGGAAAATTACTTGGGGAAATTACACTAATAGTCCCTGTATTTTGGTCCTTATATTATTTGATTTTTGTAATTTTAATTGGCTTGATTGTGATCATGAATTTATGAATTTGTCTCAATTTAATCCAATTACTTACAATTGTTAGTATTTTTGAATGAAAAAAAATGCACATAAGTGACATATAGCATGCTTTTAGAGGCAAAATTACAAAATTGTTCAATTTAGTAAGTTAACCTTAACTAATTCAGTGATTATTTCCATCAAAAACACCAACAATGTTATCTAAATTGACACAAAATATAAAACTAAGAGTTAAAATTGAGGCAATTGAAAATATAGGGATCAAAATGATACAAGAGACAAAATATAAGAACTATTGGTGTAATTTACCCAAACTACTATGAGTTGGCTTCTTGAACATATCCGGTTTGTATCATCCGAATGTTAATTTTGTACAATTTTCAATATATTATTTATGAAAAAGTTAGCTTAATTTGATAATCGTAATTTTATTTATTTTATGCCATTTGTCTTGTAAAAAATAGATGATAAATATATTTTCAAAAATAGATCACTCACATTTTTGGAGGCAAGCAAAATAAAATGAAAAAGTTATAATCATTGAATTGACTTAATAGTTTTTTTTATTTATATTTTTTATGATTGATATATACGAATTATCTTATAAAATGAACAGTTTAAATCATTACTTTCAAATTTAAATTTAAAATTATAACTATTTTTTTAGATTGATTTAAAATTACCTTTTGGCAATGATTTGTTATGTTATTTTTGGTGTCGGTTACACATAATTGGTTAATTTTGTCAAATTAGGCGTTTGTGGTGAGCTCCTCTAGTTTCCGTTTCAATTCCTTACAAGATTTTTAAAACGAACAACAAAAATAAAACTAAATTACATCCTGACTTTCACTTTTAAGTCCTTACTCTTTAGATTTTTAAAACAAAAAACAAAACACAAAAAATTAAAATTAAAATTAAAAGGGAAAATTATTACTAACTTCTCTTCTCTTATGCATTTTAAATTTACATGAATTTTTTTATTGGCAAATTGCATAGGTAGTTTTCACAATATCTCGTGTTATTTTGGTTTTCACACTTTCAATGGATTTAATTTTAATCGTTAATTTTAGATTTTGTGTTAGTTTGGTCTGATTGACAAAGCTATTAGGGCCATTTATTTATTTATATTTTAAATTATGAAAAATGATCACTAAGTTGATTGAGATTAACTAATTAAGTTGATCAATTTTATAATTTTGTCTCTAAAAGCACGACAAATGCCACTCATTTCTGCATTTTTTTTAAAAATAAAATAATTTTAACAATCATAATCAATTAGATCAAATTAAGATAGAGTAAAAAATTTAAGGTCAAAATCGAACTAATTAAAATTATAGCGATCCAAATAACACAAGGTTCAAAGTATAGGGAATAATGATGTAATTTTCCTTTCTTATTTTACTTTTATGATATATAGACTTTCACTTTGTTATTGTCACGACCCGAACCTGCCCTTATGGGTTAAGGCCATAACCGGCCAGTAATCACGAGATTA